AAACTAGATAGAGTTTGACAGTTTGAAGTAGAGTGATATACAGATAATTAAGTATTTGATAAAAATGTATTTATAAGTAATATATTAAGTGAATACGTAAGTAAATTAAGACATTTGAATATGTATGATTGTTTCATTTATTCATGAATGATACCATAGTGAATAAAATAAACGAGTTTTAAAAAGTAGATTAAAGATTCGAACTTTACCCTATTTACCATTAATTTGTATATATGAGTAGTATATTTTTATTCCACCTAGGACAACTCATTTGAGAGAACATTTTCAGAACATTCAAAAATCTGTATCAAATCGTATAGGTTTTGTAGATTCGTTTCTTGCACTATAGTGAATTACTAGAATTCTCTACCTGAAAAGCATAATGTCACCAAATTATGTTGATACATTAAAAACAAGATCAGATCTGTATATTATACAAGTAGAAGGGATCAACCTATACCAATAGATCACCTATTTTTATCTCTGAGATCTGAAAACTAGAGCTTATCATATAAACAACTTAGCTCGAAACTGATCACGAAAACCTTTAGTTAGTTAATAATCTACATTTAATGAATTTGATCTATTACAAAGATATTTCATGCTATAAACAGACTATAAAAACTCAACTACTGTATTTCAGATTGTTGGAATGATCCAGAAAATTTCTCGAAAAAGGCATGCAAGGATCAGGAAACATTAAGAAGCATTTCATTCAATGAGCGTTCACTTGGAGTTTAGCCAGAAACATCAAGGATGCGAAACGTCACATGTAGAGGTTCTGATTGGCTGATTGCTATACTGCTACTATGTTTAGTAGCATTCCAGAATCTTCGAACAACCCAAGGACATTTAGAATATCATAAAATCCCTATGTTTTCTGTATTAAAATGAACCTTGGAGTAAAGTGCTTTCCACTTATTTTGCGCCTTCTCTCTCGAGTTCAGGTCGCTGTCTAGTTCTAGCTTGGGGGTTACAAAAATAGCTTAGGAACCGAACATAGAGTTCGAATTGCAAGACTTATAACAGATCTTTAACATTACTTAAATCTAACGGTTACATAAAAGAACAAAACACATACACAAGATGGTTTATTTGACGAATGATAACACTGAGAGTTCATGTGTATGCAAACCGATAGTTACATTAAGTCAAATAGATATATACCTGTGAGCGATAAGTTGAGTGATCAAATTGTGAAGACATTTCTATTACTTTAGATAAATTTTGCGAATAACGGAAACTTTACTCATAATGAAGGTATCAAATAACCATAATTCGTGTCGTGACAGATCATTACTTTCAAGAGTAAGTATACCATTATTATCAGTACGGAGCTTTGTGGACAATGTAGTATCTTAAACAGTTGAATCCATGAGTCGATGTAAGATAGACTACCAGTGAAAACCTGAAAGCATTTGATGGCCGTTTCGTCACATTTATGGGACTCATCAACAATGCGCATCTACGATCCCGCCGATAGGACTCGAATTCAGGACCTAAGGCTTCGCGCGTGAACGCTTAACCTGAGGACCACTGAGCTAGTATCCAACGATATAAATAGCTAACTTCAATCGGCCCATAATCTTGCGCACCCGTTCACGAGTTGTCTAAGGTGGATAACTCTCACACCCGACACGGACTGTACTCTACTAGTCACGGCTCCTCACTAGAACTCCAGGAGTTCCGTCTTGAAGCTAGTCACTAATGAGCAAATGAATATTATCAGTATGGAGATTCGTGAAAACTTTAGTATTTTCACAGTTGAATCCACAAGCCATCCAGTGCTCCCAGGTTTTAAATGGTGGTCTAGCTTAGATTGACTCGTGAATTTAACTGTGAATACACCGTTTTTTTCTTATACGGTTAATAAAAAAGTCAACATCAAAGCATTAGTTAATGATTAAGTGATTAACTGCTTAATTTGTATAATCATTAAAACAACAAAGAAAACACATTTATTTTATACAGAAATCATTCATTCGAACTGTGGAAAAAAATCTGTCAACATCATTTAAAGTTAAACATTAACATCGTTGGATGCCGACTCAGTGGTCAACAAGTTAAGTGTTTGCGCGCAAGATCAAAGCTTCTGGGTTCGAGTCCTACATTCTGGATCGTGGGTGTGTGCATTGCTGAGAAGTTCCGTACTAGGCCAAAGTTACCGTCTAGTGCTTCCAGGTTTTCAATGATAGTTTAGCTTACATTGACTCATGAATTTAACTACTAAAATTATTACATTCCACACAAAAATCCTCATTCTGATCAACATCGAGAATTATTCACAATAATATTTACACTAAATATCTTAATCAAAAGATGAACCGAGGGATGGAATTGTCAAAATCAATAATAAACACTATTATAAATACAATTATGTTAAATAAAATAAACAATTAATTACCGAACAAAAGGTATCAAATAAAAGAAAGAAAAACAGGATTACTAACATACACAAATGTCATAGTAACCAAATGATATAAACAGAGAAACAAACAAACGGATAGAAGGATGAATGAATGAATGAACAATGAATAGAAAAAGAACAATATATACTTCATCTTCTATGTATATTTACACATAAAAGTTGAAAATTCCACTGAATTGAGAAAATTACATCTTTATATTTAGATTATAAACCGATCAATGTTGGATCAGCATTGATAACCTAAAAGCAATTTCGTTCCATTTCAAGTCTCGTATGTAGGATTGTAGGTATGCATTAAGAAGTTCTATACTAGGACAAAAATCGCCGTCTAAAACTAGCACGAAAAAAAATTGTGTTGTATTCACGGGTCATCAATAGTTTACTAGTTGACTATAACCCATGATGATAACTAAATTCAAACGGAACAATCTTCCTAAAGAGTTTTATCCTAGCACATGGAATCGTATTCAAAAGATTCTATTTAGATAATTCCATCTTTCCACTTAGTATTTATTGACGTTGATTGTGAATAAATCATTTATGAAACGGTTCAATAACAAAGCGCGAACTTGTATTCTCAACACTGAATTACACTAGCTGTATATGTGATAGAAAATTAACAGGGTTCGGTATGTATTTAAGGACAAGATAAACATAACATTGGTAACTAAGTAGTAACTAATCAGTTTTATAGATCTTAGTCCTACAGCTCAGTGAAGGCCCAAATAGCTCAATGGTAATGTCTCAGATTGTGAGACTGACTAATGTGCGTTGAAATCTGTGAGGAAGTATCAGTTCACTCAAGATAATAGATAATCGTTGATGAAGAACCCCAACTCGTATGACACCTAAATCTACAGGTTTCTACCTACTATCCCTAACCCCTAACATCTCGATAGGTTATACTACTCATGGATATTTAAACTAAAGAGTGAGTGAAATAGATTTCAAACTTATAACCACTAGTTTACAATTTAGTTTGCGAATAGTCAAATAAGTACTATTTGACTGTAACCAAAATTTTGTAATAAGATGAACACTAAAGTTTAGGATACCAACTAATCAATATTATCTCATGTTATTTTGAATGGATTCTTGTACTTTGGTTAAGAAAAAAAAACAACTTTTAATGAGTCTATGAAAATAAAGAACTGTGAAAAATACATAATATCAATTGATCTGAAATCGAGATCTGAATGATCAAAATGAAATCTTACTGTAAACTCTAAATTATCAAATATGCACAACATCAACCCTTCAATGTTATTAACTGTTTTATCTATGATTTTCATCTTTCATATAAATCATTTATTCATCTGTTATTAATAGAAAGTGATCTAGTCAGAATGTTTGAGTTATATATTTCACCTTACTAATTGAGGCAATTATACTGCATTCATAACAGCAAACTTTGTACTATACTCTCACAACTCAAAAAATAGTGTTAAAGATGAATGATTTAAAAATAAAACAATCATCGATATCAGTAAAGATGGATAGTAATTAGCTATAGAATCCAGTTTGACGCGTGTCTCATCATATTTGAAACTCGTCAGTTGCATGTACCTGCACCGCAGAGTTGATGTTCACTCTAGAACTCCAACCAAATACCGTTCGCTTCAAACGTCATCGCGTTATTCACTTAGCTACTAAGTCCTGATAGCCACCTGTACTATGTTCTTATATGCAATCTTTCTTTTATATATTACCACCACTGAATTAACTACTTCTATGAATCCGGTGTTCATCTTGTGCTAATGAGGTATGGTAACTTGGACCGATGTACATATGTGCCTGGGTCCTAAGTTGTAGCTGACTAACTGACTGACTGATTGACTGCAATGGGTTGAAGTTTAAATTCACTTGATGTTGTTTGCTTGTATCTTCCTATCGTTGTTTAGGACTGCAATTGCCAACAAGAGATTGATCAATTGCAGTCCTTAATATTAATGGGAACATATAAGCAACCAACACCAAGTGAGTCGTCGATACCTCTTAAATCACTGCTTGTTTAAGTGCGATCAGATCAATGAATGAACAATGTTAGAGAACTTTCAATAAAGAAGATAAATGGAATAAACAGGTATAACATAGTTTATGTAAACTTCCAACAACTATTAACATAGATTGACAAATAATAATAACTGATATATAATAATTTAATAATTAAGTAATATCAATGGTTAAGATCATGAGTCAGTTGAAGCTAGACCACCATGGAAAACTTGGAAGCACTGGACGGCCGTTTCGTCCTACTGTGGGACTCCTCAGCAGCGCGCATCCACGACCTCGCCCCCTGCGAGATTCGAACCCAGGACCAAATGGTTTCGTGCGCGAGCACTAAACCTCTAGACCACTGAGGTGGTCGGCATCCAACGGTGTTAATGTCTAGCTTCAACTAATCCACAAAATTGAGCGACACATTCACCATTGTCTTCAGTGAGTTACTATCTCACAACAGACCTGGTTGAACTCCACTGGTCACTACTTCTCACTAGAACTCCAGGATATACCTCTTGAAGCCAGTCACTAGTGAACATATGTATAAGTAATGCACAACTACTTAACTCACTTAAAAGTTTCCATTTCAGCCAATTTCTCTTTAATTCCATGATTTCGTTTAAAACTAGACGCTGAATGAATACTTGGACTATAAGTTGAATTAAGGGATAATAAAGAACTATGATGATGAATAGTTTTCTCTGATCCATAACCTGATTCAGCAATACGATGTCGTTCAATAGCAGATATCCAAGTATAACGTTCTTCTTGATTTAATCCACGTAGATACCAAATAACATCACCGACGCGTACCTAAGAAATAACAGTAAATTTAATTGACCAAATCTATTAAATTTTAGTTTACAATAAATTAAAAATGATTATATATACTGGAAATATTCATCATACTGGAACCATGTCTAAATCAACTACACCGATAAGCTATCAAAAAATGTTTATACATTAGATAAACTTGATCAACTGTTTTGTTGGAGTTTTCAACTCCTACAAATTATAATCAGAAGGGGGTTTTGTGGAGATTTTAGTAAATTTATAGTTGAATTCATCAGTGAATTAAAGCTAGACTACCATAGAAAACCTGGAAGCAGTGGATGGCCGTTTCATCTTAGTATTAGACTCCTTAGCAGTGTGCAATTAATCATATACTTATGGAATTAAAACCTAAAAACATTAGGTTGCATAGTGAACACCATACTGTTAAGCTATTGAGTCAAAATCATCTAATAATTAACATTCTTAACTTCAGTTAATTCAAATTATATCGCCCATTCTAGTTTAGTCCTACTACTATGAAACAATTTGGCACATAGATGTGTTGAAAAAAATCTATTATCAAAGCCTTATTTAGCAAAAATTGAAGTTGCGCTTCGTTGATCTTGACGACATAGAGTTAGAATTCAACTTAGAAAAATCTGGAAATATTTTAACTCTTCACCTAATAACGATATGATCATGATTATTTTCAATACAATCGTAAAGATAGATATGCTTCCCATCTGTTCAATCTAACTATATTGACCAGTAAATCAAGCTCTAGGTTCAAGTCCCATGAGCAGGGTCATAAATGAGCACTACTGAGGAGTCCTACAATAGGATGAAACAATCGTCCAGTGTTTTCAGGTTTTCCATGATGGTTTAACTTCAATAGACTCATGAATTCAACTATTTCATTCAATAAATAATCAAACTATTGTACATTTAACTTCCGTATGAAAACAATTAATAGTACCATTTGATTGTTTAAAATAATCACCATGTGAATAAACAATTTCAATTGCTAAGAATCATGTACTTAATTTTATATCCAAGTGATAATAAGATTAATTATGATTATAATTCAATTTTTTTTAAAAAATAAAGATTTGATGATAAGTAAACGGTAATCACCTTATGAAAGAAAGATTTACTTTAATCTTCTATACACACACACACACACACACAAAGAAATATAACACATGATAATGTTGAACTGAAACTATCAAGTACAAATACGAATTTGTTTTACAAAAAAAAAAAAATTAGTTAATTATTTCAAGTACTGAAATCCTAAACTAATCGATATTAGATTATCATTGAAAATTCTAGAAGCAGTAGATGACCATTCCGTCTTAGTAAAAGACTCTTTTATAATACGCATATACAATCTTGCAAAATGGAACTCGTATCCAGAACTTTTGAACTTGCATGCGAATGCTTAGTCTCTAGACAGTTGAATCGAAATTCAATGGTGCTAATATTTAACTTCAACCAATTTAAGGTATTGTGCAACCATATTCCATTGTCTTCTGTGGGTAATTGCCTCACACTCGACAAGGTTGCACTACATCGATCACAACTCACCAGAAAGCTAGTCACTAGTGGGCACATAAAAATTATCAGTATAGGGTTGTGGAGATTATTAAGTTTTTTTATTGAGATAATGAATAGATTGGTGTTCGACTACCATTGAAAACCTGAAATCACTGGACGGCCGTTTTGTCCTATTGTAGGACTCCTCAGCAGTGCGCACTCATAATCCCGCTCGCAAGATCCGAACCGAGGACCTTCAGTCTCGCGCACGAACGCTCAACATACTAGTCCACTGAGTCGGCATTGCGTGACCATCTTCCACTGTACTGAGGTAAATACCTGTCTCTACCCGACACGGATTAGCTCCACTGGTCATAGCCCTGAGTTCGAATCCTGCAAGCGGAATCGTGGATGTGCAATGCTGAGGAGTCCTATGATAGGACAAAACAGCCGTCCAGTGATTCTAGGTTTTCAATGGTGGTCTAACATCAATCGGTTCATGATCTCAATCAACAATAAAAATTAAACATTAATGTGCCAAATTTATGCTAAACTGTATAATATTGCTATTAAAATAACAATAGAAGTGTGTACCTTCTTAACGAATGACAGGCAAATAATAATTCAGGTAGAGAAAAAAACCATTTTATTGTCTTCTTTTGTCAACTTCTTTGTATTAAAGTGCAACAACTCAAATCAATGGACTACTACTTAAAAGTCTTGAATAATTGAAAATGATCAATATATTATTTAGATTACCTTTTCCAGTTTAGGAATTGTGAATGCTATTAAGTTCAATTATAAAATATTTGGTGAAAAATGCATTGCTTTACTCTTACATCATAGTTAAAGTATATGAAAGGAGGAGATCAGCAACCTAACGACTAGTATAGCTATCTATTGTCTAAAGTTCTCCTGTTTTACAATGATTAAGGGAATGAGGTAACCTTATGACAATTAGTGGTAGAATTCAGGACGTATATTTTGTTCTACCTGCAACTATTCATTAGATTTATTTCTTAATGTAATGTTTAGTGACTAATCAGTTACAACAAGTCAGCTTTTAATCATTCGGTCATAGGCTTAAATCTCAATTTATCTAATTTGGTTTGGACAGTTGAATAATATCCATAAGGCAGTAAAAACAAAATATATTGGCCAAATCGAGCTTATACTTGGTCAGTCACCAACAACATAAAACCTGGAACATATGTGCATACATCTAAATTGCTACACCAAATCAGTACGGTTAAATGAAATTATCATGACAAATGCCAGAATAGTAGAAATGGTAACGATATAGTACATTGTACCTAGCTAATAATTTACATAACTTTATAATTTTTAGTTTTGGCGATCAAGATCGGGTCAAAAGTCAATGGACTTCTGAGTTATAACAATCATTTACTTTCAATTCACGATATAATAATAATAAATATGTCAACTGTGAAAAATAAACTAAACAGAAAAGTGATGATTAGTTACTAAACTTACCTCAAAACGACATTCATCATATTCATGAATTTTAATATATGCATTTTTTATACGTATAGAACCTCTAGAGCCTAAATTCAAATCATCTGAATTACGATAATAGGTTAGAAAGCCATCAGATAAAACAAAATAACGTTCCTGCCACCCATGTAACAAATTTGTCCATTTGCTAAGGTAACCACGAACAGCTAGTGGGGCCCATAATTCTCCATCTAACAAGCCAGCATCATCATCGTCTGAAATACCTATAGCGCTAATGTTTTCCTGACTTGAAGATTGAGTAGCTTTAGTTATATATGAACTAATAGTATGAGTGTTTGATGTGTTAGGCAGAGAAGTCATTGGACTGGAACCATATGTAGACGTTGGAATATTATGATGCATCAAAAATAAGGTCAATTAATAGGGGACCTGGAAATATAAAAAATAAGATTACTGATCGATCAGTACCTAAAATATTTTGGAAAACTCTAGTATACCCTACAAAACGAGTAAAAGTAATATAGGCAAGATGACAAATAAACCGCGTTCCCATTCGAGTGACTGACCAATGGGCTAACTGTTGAATACTCTTTAAAATAAAAATTATGCACACAAGACCGATTCGCTCTTTGGTGTTTCTCTTTTCCCTTTAAAATGATCTGGAAGATGTCACCTTGATAAGAACCCTTATAGGACTAAAGAACAAAGTTTCTGTTGCATTAAATGCAGTGATTTTAACATAACATTTACAAAAAGATTATCAAGCCAAAATCGACTAGCCAGTAATCTAGCTTAAAAACTTCTGAAATACTTTAACCGAACCTTTTAAGTGTCTTAAAATAAGTAATAAACAAACCACTTGCTGCGTGTATCTCAAAATTATCGTGGCGATTTGGCAATGAACTGATATTTTGGTTATTAGTATGATTTATTAAGACTCGTACAGTTATTAGCATCCACACCAGTATCCTCCATTCAAGTGAAAGACTTAAACAAAAGTTTTGTTCATTTTGACGTAATAGTGAATTTAAAGCCGAGACATAATTTAACACAAACCTACAAAGTAGTCGGAAACTGTCTGTATTAAAGTAAAAAATGATTTTTCGATCATGGATTACTAATTTTAATTCTTATTGTATTTACCATATCAAACGATTGCTCCACAAAACCTAATCTAAATTACTTTGATACATTCATGCACTTTGATAGTAATTCGTGACTTTAATTTCAATACCCTGAACAAAACTATTCTGTTCTCTTTTCTATGCCCTGGAATGAAAACAACAGTTCTGCTGATGAAGCTTTTTGACGTTCGCTCAGTATAATAAACAGAATAGTATCAAGTTGATCGATTACGTATCAATAGGAAACTATTAGAATATTTAAACTAAGTGTTTGTCATTATATAAAAAAATCCATAAAAAGCGTTCACACTGAATAATCTACTGTAACGGAATTTCAGTCTAGTTGATATCTATGACTCATAAGTTGTAATCTGAGGTTACATATCCCCAACAACATAGACTAGGGTTAGGTTTCTAATATCTTCTGCCTAATCCTCAGCTTTATTAATTTTTCACCATTTTAGCGTTTTTCTACCGAGGTATTTAGTGTAGTTTTATTGTTCAGTAGGTTTGAAATTATTGCATATAACTAAGTGTATTCTCGTTAAAGACAACAAGAGAAGAGTCGTTCATAAGAAGTAGTACCATAAAATCTTCATCAACATTAAAACACCAGGACATAAACGACGACAACAGATTCTCACTAACAATGTCTCCTAGTATTTGGGAGACCACCAGCCAACTTCGAGGCCATATAAACCTCTAGAAGATAAAACTGATAGGTGAGTAGCTGATAAAAACTGCTCTGGATGGAAAACAGCATGTCGGCGTCAACATCATGTCAATAATGAGTTTATAAGAGATTACGAAGTCGTTTTGTGGAAATTCTAATGAGTTATACCACAACTCTGCAAAATAAGCTGAACGTCAGAATAAAAGAAAAAGTGCTGACATTTAAGTAACTTTGATAACGTAATGATATACTATTTTTGGATGGAGTCAATTCCAAAAGTTGCAACCATTGAGAAGATATTTAAACACAATGGTAGTTGATTTAAAAATTTAAACAATACGATCTGATAAGGGTAGGTAAAGATTTGTGCTGGAATAAAGAATGTAAATACTATGGCAAACTTTCGACTCATATGAATGAGGCGAATGTAGGAATATCAAGAGGAAAATGTTGCAAAACAAAGGTGCACGAAGTGAACTTCCTTAGCTCCACCTGTGCACATTAACAATTATAAAGGATTGGAAATATCACGGTAGCAATGTATTTTAAACCAGTGATTTGTCCTACAATATTGCAAGATGTTATGAACTGCTCTTATCATTAAATGTACGTACAACCTGTGTGCTGAACTGTCGATCTCAGTTTTCTCTTATTTTTAGCTTTTCTGATATACGTTGCTCTGCACACGATCTGCTAAACCAGTACTACCAGTATTAACAACCGAAACTACGGCATAACCGACCGGTAAGTTAAAAAACCAATCAATAAGCCAAAATTTTCCTAAAAACGCTATTGTCCGTTCGATCTACGAAATTTAGGATCTTATAACTAACTATAGTCCGACAAGTGTAACCAGTATTGTTTCTAAACCAATGCATGATACTGACCCATATCTCATGTACTTCACACGTGATAAATTCACGGTTTACAGCTAAAAGTACATGGTATCATGGCTTATAATTTAGCCACAAGGATATATGATAAATGTTAGCAAATGTACTATTTTATTTAGTAGAATAGGGTAAAGAAATGTGTAAGAATAAATCTACTGAAGTGAAATTCAAGGGCATCAAAAAACAGCTTCAGTGGGACGTAATCATGCTGATCTGTTCCATTGACCAAAATATATTCCATCACCATTTTTAGACGACTTAGACGTGCAACTCTATGATCATAGAGTTGAACAAATTAGGAAGCAATATTTTGGAGGGAAACTTTCTGCCGTTATAGAACTTCAAAGTGAGGAAAAGAACAAAAATACTGTCCAAAATATTCGACACCTCTTATATATAACATACTATGACCGATAGTTTAACTGCCCACAGATGAATAACAATGAAGGTTTAATGACCATTTAATCTCCACAACGAATGTACGTAAAAATATTTAGATTATGAAAAAAATTGAAACTACATAATTTATAGCAAAATAGCGTTTCGCATAGAGAAAACACTTGAAAACAGTCTACCTAGCAGTAGCGAATTACCATCAGAATGCGCTCTGATGTACTTTCAATCGTCAATCGGTTTCAGTTTCGTTTAGAAGGTCAGGATCTTAAGAGTTCATGTTGGTTCTGCTGATTATGGTCTATCGAATAACTTTACTGTATTTATGCAAAATTTATGGGTTTTTTATGCCTGATGGTAAATTATGTTGAGAGGAAATGTGAAACGAATTGTTCATATATGAGAATCTGAAAAAGAATCCATTCAAAAGTGTCTTCGTTAGATATAAGAAGTGTCACAATAATCCGATAAGCTCACTAGTTTTACTTATGACATTAGTTGACAACACTCAATTATGAAATAAGTGTAGCGACGGTTACCTACTGGCACGAAGAGGTTGATTCTTAGGAAGTCGTGTAAGATAAGACGTCTGAAAACACACTGTTGCCATTCATTCTTCCCCCTATAAACTGAAAAAAGTATTTATTTTTGGGATGAATTGATTATTACACACTAGTTATACATCTAGAAAACAGAAGACAGGTCGTGGATTCTCAAACGTTTGGCATGCCGAATATTCGATTTTTTATCACCATTATATATTACCCAATTGATTTCTCTTCACTGAATTCATGTTTACTTATGGTTCTAGGTATTTGGTGGTGTCCATTAGGCGAGGGTTCAGTCATCCAATGGAACTAACTGTCAGTTTGATAGATTTCCGGCTGCATAAATCTTGTAATTTGATTTCATTACTCTCAGGAAGTAGGGTTTCTGGATACAAGTAGCTATCACATTATCAGTTAAGAGATAAGTAGGCTACAACGTGAAAAATAATAAAAAGAATTTATATTCTTAGATAAGACAAGTAATTCAAAAATGAACGAACAAAAATAGGTTATTTGATTAGTAATGTAGACAACCTGAGAAAACTGTAGTGTAAGTACGAAGGGAGAAATCGAGATGATAATAAGCTGAATAAGAATCTGTTAGTCTTCAGTATTCAGTAATAAGGGTAGGAGGTCTATCGACCTGTATTAATCCTTTCAGTTTGTAATACTGTGGAGGTCCAATCTCGTCTTTAATATATCAACAAAAGGTGCTGATATTACGTGTTCCGGTAGAGAATTCCAATAATTCACTACTCGATGAGAGAAACGAAACTCCAGACGTAAACGATTTGGTCTCGGATTTTGAACTTCTTCGAATGTCCTCTCAAATAATCATTCCAATACGGAAGTAAAAGATAAGACATGTTAATACCAAGGTCATCGTTCAGTATACGATAAGCCAATATTAGATCACCCCATATTCTACGGTAAGATAACGGAAGGAGAGACCTTATCGAAAGCCTTACTTAGATCCATCAAGATCAAATCTACAGGAATATTCTGATCTTTTGCAGCAGCCCAATCTTCTCTTGCAATGAGATTTGTCAAGCACGATAGGCCTCTCCGAAAACCATGTTCCCTGGAGAAAAGATTATGCCTTTCAACATAGTTTATGACAGATATCCGAATGATTTTTTCCATCAGTTTTACAACTGCACCAGTTAAGCTAACGGGTCTATAGTTACTAACTAAATCCAAACTCCCAGCCTTATACACCGGACTTATTATAGCGTCTTTCCAGTCTCTGGGCAGTCTGCACTGCTTCAGAGACATGCCAAACAGTATCGCCAATGGTTCAGCAATTACGTCCGATATGGCTTTCATAATCCTAGGATGAATATTATCAGGACCACTGGACTTATCAGGTTTGATATGCTGAAGTAGCCTTAAAACAGTATCTTTCTCAATGACCACAGGATCCATCAGCGAGCCGTAACGGTCATAAAGAATCGTTCCTCATTTCTGATAGAAAACACTTTACTGAAATATTTCGATAAAGCTTCGGTTTATCGGTATCATTTTCTGCCAAGATTAACGGATTTTCTTGTATCAAAAGTGATGGAATTCCATCGCTTCTCTGATTTCGCCTTTTTATATACGAGAATAACCGTTTCGGACTATATCTAGAATCCCTAACCAATTGCTTTTCGTATGATCATCCAGTCTTACTTATTAAAGCTTCGCAGGCATTCCTAGTCTTACAATAACTGGATCGGTATTGTTCTAAGCCCGCAGAGATGAACATATTTCAGTGCTTCTTCCTTCTTCTAAGAAGTTTCTTAACTGGTTTGATTATCC